CCATCAACGCAGTCAGGTCTCTAGTGCGTTTAAACAAAGACACATTTCTCCTCCACCTCTTCATCCAGTCACCATCTCTAACAGGGTAACTGCAGGTTTAAGGAAGCCAAAATTAAGACTTTTTAAGACCCTTTTTAAGGCCACTTTGACCAAATTTAAGCTATTTTTTTATTAAATTTAAGCTATAATTTCCAGCTATTGTCTGGAACCGGTGCTAACCACGTCGCGAACGTGGGATTAGCCATCCGGTAACCATTAAACTTGCACTTCCCCATGGCGCAAGCTCCCACTAGCTTAACCAGCTAATGTGCTCATCTAAAAATAGCCCCCTTTCACAACCAGCTGAACGTGTACGGTTCTGCTTACGCCAACATCGTACACAAAAAACGCTGAACGCTAACTAGAAATTCACAAAATTTTTATAGAAATAAAATAATTTTGTTTATTGGGTCTTTGGTAATTTAAGACCTTTGGAAACTGTATTTAAGGATTATTTGTCTTTTTTTTTTTTAAAGGATTTTAAGGCCTTAAATTTGGAAAAGCTAATTTAAGACTTTTTAAGGACCCGCGGATACCCTGCCTAAACTCAGGTTTCCCGTAAATTCCTGAAACGAATAATACGTTTGCTTCATATCTTTGTACTCCTCCAGTCTCGGGTGTAATAACGAATATATTGTCGGACTTTTTCAGCGAGACGGTCTCCAATCTGCTCCGTGTCTGCCGCTAGGTATCTTTGGCTCTGGTTATATTTCTTTGAGGGGGAATGGAGGTGGTGCTGACGAAAGAAGGAAGTGGGCTCTACTCCGTCCGTCCTTAGGAGTCTGTTGGAGAGCGACGATGGATAATAGTCTAGTGACAGTATAAATAAGCCCCAGATGGCTCTCTTCTGGCAATGATATGGTGAGTTAAGCAACATTTAGAAGACTTCCAAGTGGCTTGACTAAAGTGTTTCTGTGTCTAAAGTTATGGACACAAAAACAGATCATACCCTGGGTCTTTCTCAATGTCAAGGAACCTTGCCTTGATGTCTTAGCCCCGCCCCGGTTGCCTAGGAGATATGTCATCAGGAGCCACCAAGACGTGTTCCAATGTTCATGTTCTACCGAGGCGTGTGTTCTCCGTTTGTTAGCCGTTTAGCTAGCTGAGCAAGGACACACGGGAGGTGTCTTGTAGCCTAGCCTCGGTCAAACATTACCCAGAATACACTGCGGTATTTTCAAAAAGACGGCAGATCAGAAGCCGGCAGCTACTTCGGGGACAATTTTCACGTTTAAACGTAAGTCAGCTAATTTAAAATGTTTTTTTTTTGGATCCAAAGAAGTTATCTATGGTTGGTTAGTTGCTTAGTAGTTGCAGCTTCAGTGGCTAGCGGGTAGTAACTCACTTATATTTTTTATTATATATATTTAATAAACATATACACAATTTAAAAAGTAAAAGCCTTGTTACATATTTATATTGAAACTAATACGTATAAAATATAACGTTATCTCCCGTGTCACGTGACGTTACGTGACCGCCTTGGAAGCCGCGGTCACGTGATGCAAGTCTGTTCCATTTAACTGTTTTCTTTGACCAAGGAAGGACCGCGTCCTCGTAAGCAAGGCGCCTTGGCGTTGAGAAACACCCCCTCCTTCTGAGCAGATATGAGCACCGTTTCATACCAAAACATCACATCATGAATTACTTTACAGTACACGCTGTATAAAATAAAATAATAAAAATAAAGCTTAAAATACAAACCGTGGGTCGTGAGAGGGTCCCGACTGATCCAGGAGCAGGAACTCACAGTTGTGGCCCAGATACTGGGCGTACTCCATGAGTCCGCTGACGGGGTTCTTCAGCCGCACTTCCTGTAGTTTGGCCCACAGGTTTAGTGGAGGAGGAGCAGCCAGCGACACGGCAACGGTTCCCACAGAGTTGGTCATCTGTTCCGCCAGCTTCTTAGCATCGGTCTCTTTGCGGATGGCGTTGAGGAATTCTGGGATGTCATCTGTGGCCCACTGGTCCTCTGTGTTCTCCTCCTTACATGAAGTTAAAGACGTTTGCTAAAAAAAAGGGTAAAGAACGAGAAAAAGTCAACGTTAACGTCAATCTTCAAAGCTGTTTGCTTAAAATCCTAACAACTCATTCTGTCGCAGCTGAAATTCCCAATAAAACATCATCGCCTAATTAAAAGTTGTTCTTCAAAATAGGTGTTTTCTTTCCTGTTAGATGTTTAAATAATTTGCAAGAAGTGTTTTTTTCCCTTTTCTTTATTAAAAACAGTCGCACACTTGTGGCGGGAGTCTGCAGCCCCTCAGGAAGCCGTGATGCACTTTAAACGAGCCAGAAAGAGGAAATGATGAGGAAAGTACGGAAGCACATCGCTGTCAAAGCAAGAAAAACATTTTACCGTTTCATAATCAAGAAAGTTTATTTTGTTACATCCACAATGTTCCGTGTGTGAGGTTTGAAACGTCAGAACACCTGCCAGAATGACTCACCACCTTCAGATTTCTCCAACACAGATAAAAATGATCAAATACGGAACATGTCCTGCTATTGACAGCGTGCGCAGGCCAGACTGCTGAAGCTCAGCGCATTATTATTATTATGAAGCTAGGTCACATGCGGAGGACACACACACACACACACACACACAAGCTAAATATACTTGTTTTCAATTACATTTATTGTGCCCACTTACTTTTTCTTTGGCCCACCCACAAATGAGTTTCTGGCTACGCTAATGGTGACATATGACAGACTTCTCTGAGCTCCGCAGCCATTACACTTTTCACCTCGCGCACCCCCTAGCGGCAGCTCGCGCACCCACACTTAGTAATACGAGACATTAAAACACATTAGGAGAAAGTTTCTTTTATTATCTCGTAATAGTGAGATAGCTCATAACGGTAACGCGCTGACATCTCGCGGGACGCTTGAATCTCGTCTAGAAGAATCACGAGACGATGACCAGAAGAAGCGGCCTGTGCTTTTTAAAAAAGATGTAATTTGTCAGAGAAACATATTTCTCCACGCTTCGGAAACTACTTAGAAACCAGCCTTCACATGGACTTCTTCTCCACTTTATTACGAGAAAACTTTGTTAAAACGACTTACATTCACTCACTTAAAGGATTATTAGGAACATCTGTTCAATTCTCCTTAATGCAATTATCTAAACAACCAATCACATGGCAGATGCTTAAATGCATCTAGGGGTGTGGTCCTGGTCAAGACCATCTCCTGAACTCCAAACTGAAGGTCAGAATGGGAAAGAAAGGTGATTTAAGCTATTTTGAGCGTGGCGTGGTTGTTGGTGCCAGACGGGCCGGTCTGAGTATTTCATAATCTGCTCAGTTACTGGGATTTTCACCCGCAACCATTTCTAGGGTTTACAAAGAATGGTGTGAAAAGGGAAAAACATCCAGTCCTGTGGGAGAAAACGCCTTGTTGATGCTAGAGGTCAGAGGAGAATGGGCCGACTGATTCAAGCTGATAGAAGAGCCTAACCCTAACCCTCGTTACAACCGAGGAACGCAGCAAAGCATTTGTGAAGCCACAACACGCACAACCTTGAGGCGGATGGGCTACAGCAGCAGAAGACCCCACCGGGTACCACTCGTCTCCACTACAAACAGGAAAAAGAGGCTACAGTTTGCACCAGCTCACCAAAACTGGACGGTTGAAGACTGGAAAAATGTTGCCTGGTCTGATGAGTCTCCATTTCTGTTGAGACATTCAGATGGTCGAGTCAGAATTTGGCGTAAACAGAATGAGAACATGGATCCATCATGCCTCGTTACCACTGTACAGGCGGTGTGGTGGTGTCATGGTGTGGGGGATGCTTTCTTGGCACACTTTAGGCCCCTTAGTGCCAACTGGGCATGGTTTAAATGCCACGGGCTACCTGAGCATTGTTTCTGACCATGTCCATCCCTTCATGACCACCATGTACCCATCCTCTGATGGCTACTTCCAGCAGGATAATGCACCAGGTCATAAAGCTCCACTCATTTCTAACTGGTTTCTTGAACATGACGATGAGTTCACCGTACTACAACGACCCCCACAGTCACCAGATCTCAACCCGGTAGAGCATCTATGGGATGTGGTGGAACGGGAGCTTCGTGCCCTGGATGTGCATCCCACACATCTCCATCAACTCCAAGATGCTATCCTCTCAATGTGGACCAACATTTCTAAAGAATGCTTTCAGCAGCGTGTTGAATCAACGCCACGTAGAATTAATACAGTTCTGAAGGAGAAAGGGGGTCAAACACCGCATTAGTGTGGTGTTCCTGATATCCTTTAGGTGAGTGTATGCCGTCAATAGATTTATTAAATTATAGCGAGAAATGTTTCGTTATTACGATATTGCTCCTTTAACGCTTCAGTGGGAGTCACACTTCAAAGACAAGAAAGTTTAAAGCCGGGCGGACACTGTGCGACGTTTTCACTCGTAGCACTCGGCTTCAGCTCAAACTGTACGACTTCCTCGCAGGGCGGATCTCACGAGTCGTGTGCTCACACTGCACGACCCAGTTCTCGCATGCGACCTGACTGCTCACACTGTACGTCTGGTAGCAACACGTCGGCCCTAAAAATGCGCTAAAAATAGCAGTTTTTACTCAACACGTCAGACTGTTTTGTCTTGTTTTGCCTGTTGTCCTTCGGGAGTGCTGCAGGAGGACACACAGGGATTTATGGGGGTTGGATGAGGAAAACGAAATAAAGAAAGTAAATCTGTGTTTGTGATCAGTTTAATTTGACATGAACACGACAAACACACTTTCTTGACAATCTTTGTGAGTAAAAAAAACGTGTAGAAATAAAAACGAACAGCGCGTGTTATTAGGGAAATAGCGGGCGAGCTGCGTTGATGCAGGATTGCGCATGCGCCGTGAGCGGTTCTGATACTTTTTGGGTCGCAGCCGCTCGCAGCGCCGCTTCAACAGTGCGATACCCTCACGAGGGACGAGCAAAATATTAAACACGCCAGAAGTCCGTGCGACCTCACGACTGCTGATCGACAGCTGGTCACGTGGTGTTAATCGCCTCTCGTAACCCCCTGTACACTATACGACCGCTCGGCGCAAAACTCGCCCCGATCTCGTGGATTCTCGCACGAGTGGAAAATCGGCTCAAAAAAGTGAAAAAGTCGCACAGTTTACGCCCGCCTTAACGTGTTATTTTCAGCCGACGACTGCCAGACCACGTGGAGGTACCTTCGTACGGTTTTGTAAAGAAAAGGGATTAAAGTAAAGCAAAACTTCGTAACCTACCGGGTTTGTACGACTCTGCTCTTGCATCCAGTCCCCCAGAAGCGGCAACGGCTCAAGACCCGGTAATGATGACGGTAAAAATATGGACCCACCACCGCCGTCGTTTTCTCTGCTGTCCATCACCTCCATCAGACCACCTATGGTGGTGTTTTGCTGTGCAACTTTCAGGCTCCTCTCCATTTTCTTTCTGCGATGGGGGGAGAGGTCCCATTTCAAAGGACTAGCATCACTATTTCTAGTGACCTCTCCTTGCTTCTCCAAAAAATTAAGGGAGGAATTGACCTGCTTGGCGTTCTTAAGGCCCAGGTTTTTAGCTACGACGAGAGCCGTTGTCTGGCCTGACTCCAGAAGATACTGCAGTATTTTCTCCTTTAGCTCAGACATGATGGAAGACGTCGGCCCCTGATCAGAAGAGCTGGTTAAACCAGGATATCCGTCCTTATTGAGTTGACCTGCTGGTAACAAAGACTCTTCGGCGTCTGACAACTCTGAAGATGAAGAATAAGAACTGGATTCTGAGTCAGAACCCTCTTCTTTGACTTCTACCTGGTTTTTGGCTTCTGGGTCGGACTCGGCTCTTTCTGGATGTCGTACAAGAAAACAGCGAGAGGGGGGTTGTGTCTCGGAAATTCGACTTTCACCAACTCCGCACAAAGCCCACAGAGGAGGTGCGAGGTCTTGCTTGGAAGCTTTCTTTGAACGTTCCAAACTGTACAGCGCTTTGTTTACGATGCTTTTCGGTAAGTGTATCTTTTTGCATAAAACTCTAGCTGTGGTGCTCTCACCGGGCCTCAAAGCAGCCAAAGCCCTGTACACCTGGTCTTGTATTTCAGGAGTAAACCTGATCTCATCTTTAGCTGGTCTCAAATTTGCTGAGCGGCCGGACGAAGAAAGCTTGTCAAACCTTTGTCTTCCTCTGTTGGACCTGCTTTCAAGAGACAAACTCTGAAAGTTTCCAAGCAGCGCGTCTGTTTGTGAAAACCGTGGACCGTAAGCTCTTTGGTTGCCGTTTCTACTTGGAAACTGGTTTTGATGTCGAGGGGCTAGGGAGCCCCGGAACGCAGCTGTACCGGGTGAGTATGCAAAGCTCTGGCCTTGGCTTCTGCCCCTTGGGTTTGAGTACCTACAATACCCTGACTGGGGTTGGTTTGAAGAGCTGGGTGGCTGGTTGGACGATGCTCCTCCTCCTCCTCGTGAACTGACCCTAAACTGTGGGGCTTCAAAGCTCTGTCCTCTCAGAAATTCTACTTGCTGAACTTGGAAAGAATTGGAAACCGGAGGGTCGCCGAGTTTCTGTGAGTAATCAAAGCCTGCAGGATTGGCAAACACTCCGATTAGGTTCGGCGACGAGTGGGAGAGACGGGGTGGAGGTTGTACAGAACAAGGAGGGCCGTTGTAGAAATTTAGATTTGAATATTGTTCTGGTTCAGGTCTGGGAAGGAGGTGTGGGCGTGGGCCGGGTCTATAATTGTTCTGCTTGGTCTGCAGGTCGGGAGATGGATGTCTGTAGTGTTCCTTATAAGCCCCGCCTCTACCTCTGCTCATAGCGCAGGGGTTGAGCAAAAAGGGGGCCGATGCAGCTTGAGGTGCAGCTTCAGTATCGTGGCACAGCGGACCTCCAAAGCGAAGCCAAACAGATGGAAAGCCGGGCTGGGGTGGGGCACGCTGAGAGCACATGGAAAACAAAAAGACAAAATCAGGGAAAAAACACGTTAAGATGAAAACAGGTGCAGAAAAGAGTGACCCTGGGAGTTAAAAGAAACTGTCGCTTAGGACACTTGAGGCAAGATGCTTAGCATCTGCTGCCAGCCCCCATCCCGCTTGAGTGTCCTTGAATAAGTCAGACAAGCTTCAAGGACGCGTCTGGTGTCCTTAAACGCAGCACAGCTACAGCTATAACCATAGCAACCCTGCTTTTATGACCCAGTCAGTTTCCAGGAATATTAGAGGGTGACGGGGAAGATTTCTGCGCATCCTGTCACACTGAAACTTAAACCCAACGTCACAGGGGCCCGATTAATAATTCAAAACTTCTCGTAGCTGCTTTGTATCGTTTCTGAACTCACAGAATATTGCTTTGTCTAGCTCTGCAACAGAGAAGGAGCCAATAAACAAACAGCAGAGTTAAAAGGTAAGAGATGTGATTATAAAATTCTGCAAAGACAGACTTCATGATGCTTTTAAAATATCCACAGAGCTGAAAAAAAATTACACATTTTAATGACACAGACCATCATTTCAATGCTCTCCAGTTTTTGTTTGTTTATAATAGAAACTAAGATGGATTCAGCCTCAAGTGTCATATAATGTCCATATCTGTTAGAGACGACACACATAAGTCCGACACGGAGTCAGGTTTCATCTCCTCAGGACCGGTCTGCATCACGAGCCTAAACACTGTCTGTCACGTTATTAAAGAACAAGATCGTGTTGGTTCATCAGAGTAAGGAGAGCTGACAGGCCTGGGAGCCGAATGGAGCCGAAGCTGACTCACTTTGATCCTGACTAGGCAACGTCTGAGCCCAAAACACAACTCATGGAGTTTCAGCAAAAGGTCTTTCACTTCTTCAGTCAGACAGACAGATAACTGGACATGCCTTACAGATGACGAATCAACTATTCTGGGTAAACAAACAAACAGATCATTGTTTACTTAGAGCCTGGTTCCCTGTTGCTGTTCTCACCTTTAGAAGTTCAAGCACAAAGAGGTGATTTCAAATAAATCAGGTGGATTTTTGGGTTGCGGCTTCAGATTCGCCTCACAGCAAAGTTAGTCACAACACGAGTCTTAGCTGAAATGTCAGCACACGAATAAATTAAACTAAAGTGCGGCAGTTTAAGGTGTCTGACGCAGAATGGCTGAAAAGTCCTCTCAGGTGGGTCGGTCCGGTCCGCTAGCCTGCAGCACTGGTCTGAAGTACTGGGAGCTGTTAACGATCGGGTGCACCAGACTGGGGAAATCCTGACAGCTCGGGAACAGAAACAGGCCACCAACCGCGGAGGAAAGTTTCGCTTTCCCTTCTCGTTAAGTTTCTGGTTCGAGTCACGTGACCAGGTAGGAGCGCTCACCCTGGCCACGTGCTCAGATCACCGCGTTATAAATAAAACAAGGCGGGAGAAATTAAGATGTCGCACTTCTGAAGATTAAAAACAGTTTACTAATTATGCTCATTTCTACAAACGCGATTAAAATTCGTGGATTTATGACAACAACCCATGTTTCAACCTTTTCCTCCATTACATTTATTTGAAAATAACTAATTTAGCCACATTTACATTGAATATTAATTCAAAATAATGCTATATTGCTTACAATTTGTTGATTTAAATTGACTAAAGTATTATTATTGTCCGTGATAATGAAATTAACGTTTCTGTGCTTCTCTAAATCTGACAGGTTACCTATTGGCTTTTAAGGGAACTATTTAAACGTTACCTGTATTCAGTACACAGCTTTAAACTCGCGCTAAAACAGTCTCATCACTGGGAAACGGACGTGAAAGCGGCGCATCTTGTCTTGCTTTCACCCGATGCAGACTCTTTGAAGGGACCAAGATCAAGTTTGACCTTAAACGGCTTAAACTTACAAACTTTGTTCAAAACCTTTAAGTCACAAGGTTCCAAACGTTACCATTTAATAACGTGAAACACCAAATTTCCATTACGAGGTCAGAATGTGCTGCTAAGCGGTAGAAGCCAAGTGAACATCGTTCCTCCTCCTGCTAACGTTAGCTAGCCTGCTAGCTCGTGATTAGCCGCCGCGCTACGTTCAGCCTCTGCACCATTTCCGTTGTCCGCTTGCAGCACCGCTAGTTAAATGTACTTGGACTAAAAACGCTCAACATTTATTCATCCATAACTGCACACATGATTAACAAACAAGAAACGATTTTGAGTATTTACCCCAGTTTACGATACCGCTCACTTATTACACAGATTTGCAGAAACAACCATGGGACTGATGCACGGAGATACGACACCCTCGTTTTGCAACCGAAACAAATGCATACATGGTCGCATGTAAGTGACGTCAGAGACAAGGCAAGGTTCCAACATGTTTTGGCTGTTCATACTTTCCTAATTCATTAAACTGGTACAGCTGAATGGCTGTATATATATATATATATATATATATATATATATATATATATATATATATATATATATATATATATGTGTGTGTGTGTGTGTATATGTATATATATGTGAGTGTAAAAACTTAAAAAACAATTATTTTAGCAAGTTTTTATTCCCTGATAATACCCTTAAATTAAAATATTAAAACATTTTCTAACTTTTACTTCACACAATTATACTATATAATTATTTTTACTAACAATTCCACTAAGCGGTTTTCTAACATTTGTTCAACAGTGTATTTGTGACCTTGTGTAGGATCAAACTTGTGAGTTCCATCCATCCATCCATCCATCCATCCATTTTCATCCGTTTATCCGGAATCGGGTCGCGAGGGCGGTAGATTAAGGTGAGAGGCCCAGACTTCCCTCTCCCCAGCCACTTTGGCCAGCTCCTCCGGGGGAATCCCAAGGCGTTCCCTGGCCAGGTGAGAGACATAGTCCCTCCAGCGTGTCCTGGGTCATCCTTTAGGCCTCCTCCCGGTTGGAAGTGCCCAGAAAACCTCACCAGGTAGGCGTCCAGGAGGCATCCTGACCAGATGCACGAGCCACCTCAATTGGCTCGTCTCGATGTGGAGGAGCAGCGGGTCTACT